ACATGGAAGGATGTATTATTGTAACATGGAAGGATGTGTTATTGTAACATGGAAGGATGTATTATTGTAACATGGAAGGATGTGTTATTGTAACATGGAAGGATGTGTTATTGTAACATGGAAGGATGTATTATTGTAACATGGAAGGATGTGTTATTGTAACATGGAAGGATGTGTTATTATAACATGGAAGGATGCGTTATTGTAACATGAAGGATATATTATTGTAACATGGAAGGATGTATTATTGTAACATGGAAGGATGTGTTATTGTAACATGAAGGATGTGTTATTGTAGCATGGAAGGATATGTTATTGTAACATGGAAGGATGTGTTATTGTAACATGAAGGATGTATTATTGTAACATGGAAGGATGTGTTATTGTAATATGGAAGGATATGTTATTGTAACATGGAAGGATGTGTTATTGTAACATGGAAGGATGTGTTATTGTAACATGGAAGGATGTGTTATTGTAACATGAAGGATGTTATTGTATAACATGGAAGGATGTGTTATTGTAACATGAAGGATATGCTATTGTAACATGAAGGATGTGTTATTGTAACATGAAGGATGTGTTATTTTATAATATGGAAGGATGTGTTATTGTAACATGAAGGATGTGTTATTGTAACATGGAAGGATGTATTATTGTAACATGAAGGATGTGTTATTGTAACATGAAGGATGTATTATTGTAACATGGAAGGATGTTATTGTAACATGGAAGGATGTGTTATTGTAACATGGAAGGATGTGTTATTGTAACATGGAAGGATGTTATTGTAACATGGAAGGATGTGTTATTGTAACATGGAAGGATGTGTTATTGTAACATGGAAGGATGTATTAATCTAACATGGAAGAATGTAATATTGTAACATGGAAGGATGTGTTATTGTAACATGGAAGGATGTGTTATTGTAGAACATGGAAGGATGTATTATTTTTAATGTAATGGTGTTGTTTTTTATCTGTAGATGTGTATCATTTTTACCTGTAAATTTGCATGATTTTTACCTGTATAGCTGTATCACTTTCACCGGTAAATGTGTACTATTTTTACATGCAGATGTGTATAATTTTTACCTGTTAAGGTGTTTGGTTTTTAACTTTAAAGGTGTCTTACTTTTACCTGTAAAGTTTTATCATTTTACCTGTTAAATTGTATCATTTTACCTGTAAAGGTGTATCATTTTATCTGTAAAGGTGTATCATTTTACCTGTAAAGCTGTATCACTTTCACGTGTAAATTTGTATTATTTTTACCTGTAGATGTGTATAATTTTACCTGTTAAGGTTTTTATTGTAAAGGTGTCTTTATTTTACCTGTAAATTTGTATTATTTTTACCTGTAAATGTGTATAATTTTACCTGTTAAGGTGTTTGATTTTTTATTGTAAAGGTGTCTTTATTTTACCTGTAAAGGTGTATTATTTTTACCTGTTATTATGTTTTATGCTTACCTGTAATGATGTATAGTAGGTTCATATTTCACTTTGATTAATTAATATTCAGCACCAAACATTGACAAGTTGAAAACATTTGAAATCTGTTTTTCTACAACTCTTACTTTCTGTGTGCTATAGAATTCTCTTGTTGATATAGGTTATTTCTAAGGTTATTTTTAGATAACATACATAACCTTTATCAAATCTTACCAAACTACTGCTGATCATTCCTTTAATTTGTATATCGTATCAAACATCCTATTTAACTCTCATATACCGCTAATTTTCGTTCAGTTTACATTTTATATCACACAAGCCTCTTCACAAGTATTAGTACATTTAATATATATTTTCTGTTACTATGGTGTTTCCGGATCTCCCAAAACTAGTGTGGATTTCCGGTTATACATGTATGTTACCGGCGCCGACATTCTACTATACATGTTTCTGACGTATCTCAGGAAATAGTCCATAAGTAGACAGATTATGGGGAACTGTCTATTTATATACTTACAATGAGTTAAAAAGTGTGACGATTAAACTACTGTACGGTAGATTGATTTTCACGGTGTTTTGGGTTGCATAATTGATGGTTTGTGAGGTCATGACAAAATGACTTGGTCGTATAATGGGTTTCACGGAATATTGGATGGTATGGTTTAATGTCCTGTAGTGGAATGGATTTTTATGATCCGTACACTGTAATGACCGGAAACGTTTAATAATTGTTGGAATGACCAATAAGTTGGTATGTTTTACTGAATGGAACAATGTAAGGAATTTTACGGAGAAACAGATGATATTACTTGTTTGTGGTGAGTGGTGTAATGAGTGAAACAGTATAATGAACAGTTTATCATGTTGTATGGTACAATAAGTTGTACGGTTTATCGAGTTGTATGTTATAAGTTGTACGGTTGATTGGGTTGTATGTTATAAGTTGTACGGTTTATCGAGTTGTATGGTACAATAAGTTGTACGGTTTATCGAGTTGTATGGTACAATAAGTCGTACGGTTTATCGAGTTGTATGGTACAATAAGTGGTACGGTTTATCGAGTTGTATGTTATAAGTTGTATAGTTTATTGAGTTGTATGTTATAAGTCGTACGGTTTATCGAGTTGTATGGTACAATAAGTGGTACGGTTTATCGAGTTGTATGTTATAAGTTGTACAGTTTATTGAGTTGTATGTTATAAGTTGTACGGTTTATCGAGTTGTATGGTTCTATAAGTCGTACGGTTTATTGAGTTGTATGTTATAAGTTGTACGGTTTATTGAGTTGTATGGTACAATAATTTGTACGGTTTATCGAGTTGCATGGTATAGTGAGCTGTGTGGTATATTGAGTTGTATGATATATTGAGTTGTATGATATAGTGAGCTGTGTGGTATAGTGAGCTGTGTGGTATATTGAGTTGTATGATATATTGAGTTGTATGATATAGTGAGCTGTGTGGTATATTGAGTTGTATGATATATTGAGTTGTGTGGTATATTGAGTTGTATGATATATTGAGTTGTATGATATAGTAAGCTGTGTGGTATATTGAGTTGTATGATATATTGAGTTGTATGATATAGTGAGCTGTGTGGTATAGTGAGCTGTGTGGTATATTGAGTTGTATGATATATTGAGTTGTATGATATAGTGAGCTGTGTGGTATATTGAGTTGTATGATATATTGAGTTGTGTGGTATATTGAGTTGTATGATATATTGAGTTGTATGATATAGTAAGCTGTGTGGTATATTGAGTTGTATGATATATTGAGTTGTATGATATAGTGAGCTGTGTGGTATATTGAGTTGTATGATATAGTGAGCTGTGTGGTATATTGAGTTGTATGATATTTTGAGTTGTATGATATAGTGAGCTGTGTGGTATATTGAGTTGTATGATATCTGTGTGGTATATTGAGTTGTATGATATAGTGAGCTGTGTGATATATTGAGTTGTATGATATATTGAGTTGTATGATATAGTGAGCTGTGTGGTATATTGAGTTGTATGATATATTGAGTTGTATGATATCTGTGTGGTATATTGAGTTGTATGATATATTGAGTTGTATGATATAGTGAGCTGTGTGGTATATTGAGTTGTATGATATATTGAGTTGTGTGGTATATTGAGTTGTATGATATATTGAGTTGTATGATATAGTGAGCTGTGTGGTATATTGAGTTGTATGATATAGTGGGCTGTGTGGTATATTGAGTTGTATGATATAGTGAGCTGTGTGGTATATTGAGTTGTATGATATATTGATTTGTACGCTATGTTGTATGGTATAATGAGTTTATGATGTCACAAGCTTTACAGTAAATCGAATAGAACGATATGTTGAGTTATAAGTTATTCAGTGTATATGATAACGATGTATTTCTGTCTCCTTGGTGGGAGCGGTGTAGAATCCGTCATTATTCATTTGATCATGTATAGTTTTTGTTTTAAAATGACTCTGATTGACGCAGGCTAGGCGGACATGACAGGAGATCCTCTTGTATGACTGAATGAGTTTAACAATTAAGTGTCCCTTTCCGTCACCAGGATGTATTATCGTGGCCTCGTCTGCGTATCATCTAACCACAGAGTGAATATCATACCTCCGGATTATCGTGACACGTACGATTGACCTTACCTAGAAAACACCTGACGCTTAGGACGGTAGATCTGTGTGAAATTGTTTACTGACTGTAGTATCCGTATAAACACACGTAAATGTATCATATAGCACGCTGTATCTACGATATCTGTAACATATTTACATACCTTCCCTACCCAATATTACTGTCACAGCGTGTAGATACTTCAGGTATCGTGACTGCGTAGGTGACATGGAAATCCTCACTCACTCTCGCTGTTTTAGTTAGTGTTTCTTTATTGTGAAAGCAAAAGTTATATAATATTTTGGAAAAGGCGTGACTGATCCTGTATAACTTGTTACTAAATACATTTTGATATTTACATTAATGTTTTCTTCTTTGAAAATGTCGCTTCAGTAATCGAAAACGAATTGAAATAAGATCGAACTTGATCTCCATTTTAACAATAACACATGTAACACAAAAGTTATGTGAATCGATTTCACACTACAAACTTAGTTGTCGTGTTTTATACTCATAACTACTCGATTAGGGTATAGACAGTCTGTCTCATAACCACTCGATTAGGGTATAGACAGACAGACAGACAGACAGACTGTATGTCTGTCTGTCTGTCTCATAACTTCTCGATTAGGGTATATCCTACCAAACTATATCCTACATCAAATAAGAAGTGAACAGTATTTCCTTATATTATTCTTTTGTTTGTTTTACCTGGCACAACATATATCCATTTTCATCTATCTATATATATATATATATAACAATGCTAGATTGCAAGGGACACCGGGAACCGCCATATTAGAGTTTATGCTGGGATATAGGAGACAGATGATAAAATTATACAGGTGATGGCATTAGAGATTTATCAATAGACGTTAAGTAATATTATTATATTTTAATGTTATGATCTATAATATACGTATCGTTACAGGTCTGAAGTTTTCCATGGCATACTTGCTGCACACATATTTCCTTCGGTAAGTCGAATATAATATATATTGAAATCCTTCGTTATGTCGAATATAATATGTATTGGAATCCTTTGGTAAGTCGAATGTATTATGTATTGAAATCCTTCGGTAAGTCGAATATAATACGTATTGGAATCCTTTGGTAAGTCGAATATAATGTATATTGATATCCTTCAGTAAGTCGAATATAATATATATTGAAATCCTTCGTTATGTCGAATATAATTTATATTGATATCCTTCAGTAAGTCGAATATAACGTATATTGATATCCTTCAGTAAGTCGAATATAATGTATATTGATATCCTTCAGTAAGTCGAATATAACGTATATTGATATCCTTCAGTAAGTCGAATATAACGTATATTGATATCCTTCAGTAAGTCGAATATAATGTATATTGATATCCTTCAGTAAGTCGAATATAATGTATATTGATATCCTTCAGTAAGTCGAATATAATGTATATTGATATCCTTCAGTAAGTCGAATATAACGTATATTGATATCCTTCAGTAAGTCGAATATAATGTATATTGATTACTACGAATATAATTATATTGATACGTAAGGAAATATTGTTAATCCTTCAGTAAAATATAATGTATATTGAATTTAAACGAATATAACGTATATTGATATCCTTCAGTTTCGAATATAACGTATATTGATATTATAAACATATAATGTATATTGATATCTTCAGTAGTCGAATATAATGTATATTGATATCCTTCAGTAAGTCGAATATAATGTATATTGATATCCTTCAGTAAGTCGAATATAACGTATATTGATATCCTTCAGTAAGTCGAAGGTATGATTACTACGTGATGAAAACGAAGGACAATATTGTTAATTATGAAAATAAATGAGAATATATAAACCTTATCACACGGTTATAATATATAATATGAAAAAACATGACAAGGGGAAGTCGAGTATTCAATAACTCTTTGTATATATTGTATCGTCATCAAAGGTATTATCTCACAAAACTTCATCATCAAAATAATATGATAATATATCAAACCTTATCACAAAACATAATATATAATATCAATAAGACATAATTCCACAATAAACAAGATCTGTTAAGGGAACATATCACAATAAACAAGGTCTGTTAAGGGAACATATTGCAATAAACAAGGTTTGTTAAGGGAACATATCACAATAAACAAGGTCTGTTAAGGGAACATATTGCAATAAACAAGGTCTGTTAAGGGAACATATCACAATAAACAAGGTCTGTTAAGGGAACATATCACAATAAACAAGGTCTGTTAAGGGAACATATCACAATAAACAAGGTCTGTTAAGGGAACATATCACAATTAACAAGGTCTGTTAAGGGAACATATTGCAATAAACAAGGTCTGTTAAGGGAACATATCACAATAAACAAGATCTGTTAAGGGAACATATCACAATAAACAAGGTCTGTTAAGGGAACATATCACAATAAACAAGATCTGTTAAGGGAACATATTACAAAAAACAAGGTCTGTTAAGGGAACATATCACAATAAACAAGATCTGTTAAGGGAACATATCACAATAAACAAGGTCTGTTAAGGGAACATATCACAATAAACAAGGTCTGTTAAGGGAACATATCACAATGAACAAGGTCTGTTAAGGGAACATATCACAATAAACAAGGTCTGTTAAGGGAACATATCACAATAAACAAGGTCTGTTAAGGGAACATATTACAATAAACAAGGTCTGTTAAGGGAACATATCACCATAAACAAGATCTGTTAAGGGAACATATCACAATAAACAAGGTCTGTTAAGGGAACATATTGCAATAAACAAGGTCTGTTAAGGGAACATATCACAATAAACAAGGTCTGTTAAGGGAACATATTGCAATAAACAAGGTCTGTTAAGGGAACATATCACAATAAACAAGGTCTGTTAAGGGAACATATCACAATAAACAAGGTCTACTTTAATGTGACAAGATCTCACTCTCACGATTAATAATATCTATCATTAAATGGATATCACCCTACTAAAAAGCAAAACCTGAAATGAAAGGTGACAACTCAAAATAAAGTATTTCTATCATCTGGGCACCAACATTTTACAATGAACCATATATATGTTGATAAGGGGACGTCTCACAATAAACAATGTCTATTGGATTTTTTTTAAGCTTACAAGGGAAACATTTTTTGGTGATTAAAAAAAAATCAATTGACACGACATAAGTATCGCTGTTTAATAACATATGTAGGTCCTGGAGTCCCTCACTATGAAGAGATTCCAGTGTCTCCAAGACAGTCAGGTCCTTATACTGATAACCTCTAATACAATTCGACATCTATACGTGACAATACTCTGCTGTGAAACCTATAGTGAAATGAAAAGACAAAACCTATGTATTTGTAGATTGTAAATATTTCTTTACGTCCACAACAAAGATATGCAATGTCATACCCCATACTGGTAATAAATTATGTTTTTCTCTGATAAAGACGGGTGAAATAAGCCACAATTCATCAGTCGTGTATACGTAAACGTATATCAAACTATCCCCCCAAACAAAAAAAAAAAAAAAAAAGAACGCCATAACACGATTTATTTCTACACCTTATTAAAATTTGATGGTCAGTGTTAAATATAAGATGTCATCCTTGACCACGATTGGAAAAAAAAAAATAAAAAAGTGTACAAGATATTTCGTTCATATTCGCCCCGCGCCATAGTATCTAGAATTTAGCGGCCATCGGTCAATGTTAAAGGGTCAAATGTTCAAATGTCACACCTGATCCTTTTTGAGTTAAACGTATGTGATATTATAACAAAAGTTGGATTTATTAAAACATTCCTGTTGTAAATTATTCTTTAAATCAGTTGAAGACATCAGTAAATGTGATAGTCATTATTTCCCGAACGGTTCTGATAATGGATAGAGTTTTTTCTTTATGGAATTATCTAACAATTATTTTTATATCATTCTTATCATTGAAATATTCTTTAAATTCAATAGTATGACGTCATTGGGACTTATTTCCTGTGAAGTATGAAGCTGGTTCCTGTCGGTTGTTGTATACCTTATTCTATTTGAGGACCTGGCCTTGTTTCCTTGCATTCACAAAGATTTAGAAGACAGTTGTCGTTAACTAAACAGAGGATGTTTACCTTATACCATTCCAGAACAGCTGGTCTTATTCTCTTTGCCGTTTTTGATAAGTATCTGTGTAAATCTTATTATTTCTCTCGTTTCATCTAATTAGGGTTTGAATTAAGATAGATACGTCCGTATTATCCTGTTGTTTCTATGACTTCATGTGTGGCCTGTGTTGATGTTTATTGTTCTAATAATGGAGATAAATTTGTGACTTTGTTAAATGGTTAATTGTCACGTGACATATATTACACCACTTTCTAAACCTCACTTCTAAGTCTAGTTTTCTTCTTAATTTCTATATGTGTCGTATTTTCTGATTCTGTTTCCGGGTTTGGTCAGATGGTATAAACGTGTAGATACATGTACTGAATTTTGATATGCCAGTATGTTCTTTTAGACAGTCATAAACAGAATTTAATGTGGATTTTACCTTAAGTAAACTCAATCTTTTTTTTAAAAAACATGTATGGCTATATATAATTTCAGGGGACAAACCAAACTCAGATGTACTTCCTTGTAAAACAGGATACAATATAACACTATTGGAATTCGATCCTCTGCAGATAAATTGTTATTTGCCGGTTACTCCTTCTATAGAGATAAGAAATATGATATAAATCTGTAACAACTGTTTGTTCCTACGGTAAAATTGGCCTGAAAACTCGACAATAAATCATAAGGTATTTTTCGACCTGAAATATATGAAGCAGTATATAAAGCAGTGTAGGATAATTGTTACATAGATTTACAATTTTTGTTTTATATTGTGTGAGGTAACTGTCTTGTTTCTAATAAAGGTGATCATAACGAAACCTTTAAAAGGTAATGTCATCAGCACATTGATAACATCGTCCACTTGGAAGGGGTTTTCCCTATATCTTAACGAATACACAAAGCATTTTATCAACGTTAAAATACACATATAACCTTAATGTGAATGAAAATTGGCTCTTGGTTGTTTCTTTACATATATGGAAGCCAAGTTCTAAGTAATTCCTAAATCTATTTATAATTAAATAAGGTTCAAAGTCTTTGTCCTGTTTTTCTATGTGACGGTGTTGATTAAGTAACATGGACACTAAAGAACAAATCCAAACTATTTTAATAATCAGATCTGATTTTTAACCACACATAGCCAGGCCAAGACACACAACAGAATTTGACTGTAAATTCCACAATAACATGCGTCTTCAATATACACTGTGTAGTCGACTTAACTAGAACTTAAAAGTTTTAAAATAAAGAAACAAAATGTACTATATGTTAAGTTTGTAGATAACAAATGCATATTAGTGTATATTTGGTATGTTTTAGTTTCTATATATTAACTATAACGGTGTATACAAACACATGTGCATAGTGACTACCGTAAGTGTACCCTGTTCTGTGACACTGACAAGGTAAATCTGGGTATTCACATACACCAATACCGATATGAGTTATTTATGTACATATTACCTGTCCGGTTAAATCTACCTGGCCAAGGTATACACATTTTAACTTCCTGGTTCTGTTGTAAACACACACAGCTTGCCGACGTACTTACCGAGCCATTGGAAGGGACGGATGAATTCGGTCCTTTAGACCTGTCGGTCAGGAACATGGATGAAGCGACGTCAGCTCTTTACCCTAGGGGGCTAGCAGAGGAAGATTTCCTAAATCCAAACGCTACGGATATTCAACAACATGGCTTAAGTGGAGGTTAGTAGACTTTTTGTTTTTATGTAATGATATGTAGAAAGATTGCATTCATCTTTTGTTGTCAAAACGAAAGTAAAACTTTGCTGCATGTAACAACATGTATACATTGATGCACTGGCATAGTGTCTCTGTACCTGTGTTTATTTGTTCCTGAGAATCCTGAAAATGAGACAAAATTCAATTGTTGTAATGATATGTCTACTTTGTGTAATTTTATCACGTTTTTACGACTGTGATATTTTTTGTTTTATATTTTTTTATGTTCATTTCATGTCAGTGACACTAGCATTTTGACTGTGTTTTTTTTACATCTATATTATATCATGTAATGTAAGGGACAATGTAGTATTTTGCCTGCATTTTCATATTTCCTATATATCACGTCATGTCAGTGACATTGTAGAATTTTGTTTGTGTATTTTCACATTTCTTATATTATATATTATATCTAGTATTTTGTCTGTGTTCTTTCACATTTCTTATATTATATTACGTCATGTCAGTGACACTAGTATTTTGTCTGTGTTCTTTCACATTTCTTATATTATATCACGTCATGTCAGTGACACTAGTATTTTGTCTGTGTATTTTTTAACATCATTGTATTTTGTCTGTGTTCTTTCATTTCTGTGTCAGTGACAATACTGTGTTCTCCCTTCATGTCTAATTGATTTGGTATTTTTTAACATCATTGTATCTCTAATTGACTTGGTACCTCAATAATATATCATATTTAGTGATTACATCCCTCTACTATATTATACTTAGTCACTACACCTACCTACTATATCATATTTAGTCACTACACCTCTGTACTATATTATATTTAGTCACTACACATCTGTACTTTATCATATCTAGTCCCTACACCTCTCTGCTATATTATATTTAGTCACCAGACCTCCCTACTATATTATATTTAGTCACTTCATCTCTCTACTATATTATGTTAAGTCACTAGACTTCTCTACTACATTATAATTAGTCACTACACCTCTGCACTATATCATATTTAGTCACTACACCTCTGTACTATATCATATTTAGTCACTACACCTGTCTACTAATTATAATTAGTCACTTCATCTTTTTTGCAACATTTTATTTAGTCACCACATCCCTCTACTATATTATATTTAGTCACTTCATCTCTCTACTATATCATATTTATTCCGTACGACTCTCTACTGTATTATATTTAGTCACTACACCTCTGTACAATATTATATTTAGTCACTACACCTCTGTACTATATCATATTTAGTCACTACACCTCTCTACTATATCATATTTAGTCACTACACCTGTCTACTACATTATAATTAGTCACTACACCTCTGTACTATATCATATTTAGTCACTATACCTCTCTACTATATCATATTTAGTCACTACACCTCTGTACTATATCATATTTAGTCACTACACCTGTCTACTACATTATAATTAGTCACTACACCTCTCTACTATATCATATTTAGTCACTACACCTGTCTACTACATTATAATTAGTCACTACACCTCTGTACTATATCATATTTAGTCACTATACCTCTCTACTATATCATATTTAGTCACTACACCTCTGTACTATATCATATTTAGGCACTACACCTCTGTACTATATTATATTTAGTCACTACACCTCTGTACTATATCATATTTAGTCATTACACATCTGTACTATATCATATTTAGTCACTACTCCTCTCTACTATATTATATTTAGTCACCAGACCTCCCTACTATATTATATTTAGTCACTACACATCTGTACTTTATCATATTTAGTCCCTACACCTCTCTGCTATATTATATTTAGTCACCAGACCTCCCTACTATATTATATTTAGTCACTTCATCTCTCTACTATATTATGTTAAGTCACTAGACTTCTCTACTACATTATATTTAATCACTTCACATCTCTACTATATCATATTTAGTCACTACACCTGTCTACTACATTATAATTAGTCACTACACCTCTGTACTATATCATATTTAGTCACTACACCTCTGTACTATATCATATTTAGTCATTACACATCTGTACTATATCATATTTAGTCCCTACGCCTCTGTACTATATCATATTTAGTCACTACACCTCTGTACTATATCATATTTAGTCATTACACATCTGTACTATATGATATTTAGCCACTACTCCTCTCTACTGTATTATATTTTGTCACTACTCCTCTGTACTATATTATATTTAGTCACTACTCCTCTCTACTGTATTATATTTAGTCACTACTCCTCTGTACTATATTATATTTAGTCACTACACCCCGCTTCTGTATTTTATTATATCCCTTCCAACTCCCCTAGAGGTCCACGTTTGTGGTTCACTTCTATCACTGAGGAAACATGAAAGGACGCATCCGCTATAGATTGATGGTCATGGTTTATTTACCTTAAACTTTGTGTTACATATACGTTGCTTGGAGGTGGGCTATTCACTACTATGTGTTTTGTTCAGTTTGGTGTTGTTTTAGTCTACTTTTACGAACAGAAGAACAATTTTGAAATGCAGGTATTTCATTGCTGCATAATTTCAATGTTTCATTTTTGTCCTAATTATCCGTATAGAAACAAAGATATTCACTGGTAATTTTTGATACTGAGAGAACACATATCCAACTTTTGACACTGAGACAACACATATCCAACTTTTGATACTGAGACAACACATATCTAACTTTTGATACTGAGACAACACATATCTAACTTTTGATACTGAGACAACACATATCTTACTTTTGATACTGAGACAACACATATCTAACTTTTGATACTGAGACAACACATATCTAACGTTTGATACTGAGACAACACATATCTAACGTTAGATACTGAGACAAAACGTATACAAATTTTGATACTGAGAGAACACATATCTAACTTTTGATACTGAGAGAACACATATCTAACGTTTGATACTGAGACAAAACGTATACAAATTTTGATACTGAAACAACACATATCTAACTTTTGATACTGAGACAACACATATCTAACGTTAGATACTAAGACAAAACGTATACAAATTTTGATACTGAGAGAACACATGTCTAACTTTTAATACTGAGACAACACGTATATGACTTTTGATACTAAGACAACACATATCTAACGTTAGATACTGAGACAACACGTATACAAATTTTGACACTGAGAGAACACATATCTAACTTTTGATACTGAGACAACCCACATCTAACTTTTGATACTGAGACAACACATATCTAACCTTAGATACTGAGACAACACATATCTAACTTTTGATACTGAGAGAACACATATCTAACTTTTGATACTGAGACAACACATATATTACTTTTGATACTGAGACAACACATATCTAACTTTTGATACTGAGACAACTCATATCTAACGTTTGATACTGAGACAACACATATCTAACTTTTGATACTGAGACAACACATATATGACTTTTGATACTGAGACAACACATATCTAACGTTTGATACTGAGACTACACATATCTAACTTTTGATACTGAGACAACACATATCCAACTTTGGATGCTGAGACAACACATATATGACTTTTGATACTGCGACAACACATATCTAACTTTTGATACTGAGACAACACGTATCCAACTTTGGATGCTGAGACAACACATATATGACATTTGATATTGAGACAACACATATCTAACTTTTGATACTGAGACAACACATATCTAACTTTTGATACTGAGACTACACATATCTAACGTTTGATACTGCGTAAACACAAATCTAACTTTTGATACTGAGACAACACATATCTAACGTTTGATACTGAGACTTCACATATCTAACTTTTGATACTGAGACAACACATATCTAACTTTTGATACTGAGACAACACATATCTAACTTTTGATACTGAGACAACACATATCTAACTTTTGATACGGACACAACACATGTCTAACTTTTGATACTGAGACAATCCATATCTAACTTTTGATACTGAGACAACACATATCTAACTTTTGATACTGAGACAAGACATGTCTAACTTTTGATACTGAGACAACCCACATCTAACTTTTGATACTGAGACAACACATATCTAACTTTTGATACTGAGACAACACATATCTAACATTTGATACTGAGACAACACATATCTAACTTTTGATACTGAGACAACACATATCTAACTTTTGATACTGAGACAACACATATCTAACTTTTGATACTGAGACAACACATATCTAACTTTTGATACTGAGACAACACATATCTAACTTTTGATACTGAGACAACACATATCTAACTTTTGATACTGAGACAACACATATCTAACTTTTGATACTGAGACAACACATATCTAACTTTTGATACTGAGACAACACATATCTAACTTTTGATACTGAGACAACCCACATCTAACTTTTGATACTGAGACAACACATATCTAACTTTTGATACTGAGACAACACATATCTAACTTTTGATACTGAGACAACACATATCTAACTTTTGATACTGAGACAACACATATCTAACTTTTGATACTGAGACAACACATATCTAACTTTTGATACTGAGACAACACATATCTAACTTTTGATACTGAGACAACACATATCTAACTTTTGATACTGAGACAACACATATCTAACTTTTGATAATGAGACAACACATATCTAACTTTTGATACTGAGACAACACATATCTAACACTGAGACAACACATATCTAACTTTTGATACTGAGACAACACATATCTAACTTTTGATACTGAGACAACACATATCTAACTTTTGATACTGAGACAACACATATCTAACTTTTGATACTGAGACAACACATATCTAACTTTTGATACTGAGACAACACATATCTAACTTTTGATACTGAGACAACACATATCTAACTTTTGATACTGAGACAACACATATCTAACTTTTGATACTGAGACAACACATATCTAACTTTTGATACTGAGACAACACATATCTAACTTTTGATA